TGAGTTACTTTATTCAAAGGGAATTTATTGAATCTGAATTGAAATTTGAACAGAATTGTCTTTTATTTCTTTATGTGGCCCTGTGATGGACTTGCAACCTGTCCAGGGTGTACCCTACATCTCGCGAACTGACTTCTGGATATAGGTACCAGTGACCCCCACGAAAGGAAGAAACAAGTAAAGATAATGGATGGATGGATGGATGGATGGATTGATGGATGGATGGATGGATGGATGGATGGATGGATGGATGGATGGATGGATGGATGGATGGATGGATGGATGGATGGCTGGCTGGCTGGCTGGCTGGCTGGCTGGCTGGCTGGCTGGCTGGCTGGCTGTTTGGAACTCTTGTTGAACAAAGAACGAGAATGATAAAGCTTTGTAAATACAACTCAGTTTCAATTCAGTTTATTTATATACGACAAAGTCACAACAGAAGTTGTTTCAGGGTGCTGTGCAAAAACATTCACATGCACATACATTATACATTATAAAAGCCAGTTACTAAGATTTTTTTTTTAATAATCTAAGCCAGCAGATTGTGTTGAATCTTCACTTTGTGGCAGTCTCCCATCCTGAACAAGAACAAAGGCAATAGCGGAAAGGAAAAACCCTTTTAACAGGAAGAAACCTCCAGCAGGACCAGGCTCAGAATGAGCAGCCATAGATATAAACACTAGATGCCTCATTGTCTGCTGCGGGCTGCGGCGCAGGATTTTCAGCCCCCATCTTGAAACGGTTGTCCTTATTTGGTTAAAGCAGATGTTTCAGCACTTCGCAGCTTATTTCTGTTCAGATCGACGGACTGTTGACAGGTCTCGTGGGATAACTTTTCACAGTAAGATGAACATATTATTGTTAGTATTTTGTGAAAAGAATATTACTGTACTGTCTAAAAAAGTTAAATCTGGTCCTCTGGACATTCAAAAAAAACAAAACAAAGCAAAACAACAAAAAAATGTAGAAACATTTCGTCTCTCATCCGAGAGACTTCCTCAGTCTGAGCTGCTGTATTCAGCTCAGTCTCTTAAATAGCACCTTCTCAGAGTGGATCAACCAGTTTTGCTGCTGACAACCAAAACCAGCTGATCACATGCTCAAGAAGGACCATCAGCCTAACAATGGATCATTAGCACACTGATGGCTGTTTACTATTCACAGAGGGCTGAGTGATACTAGCAATCACAGCATTGTAAGAGGGGGACAATTGAACACGTAGGCCTCCACCCCTGTTTAATGATGGACGGTTTCTTTTCACAAAGATGGCCTCCTTTACTCCTCTTTACTCCATTCTTCTCCTTCTCATAAACAAAACCCCAAAGTACTTGAACTCCTCCACTTGAGGCAGAACCTCACCCTTGACCCAAAGAGAGCAATCCACTCTTTTCTGACTGAGGAAATGGCCTCAGATTTGGAGGTGCTGATCCTCATCCCAACTGCTTCACACTCGGCTGGGAACCATTCCAGTAAGAGGTGAAGACCACGACATGATGACACCAATAGGGCCACATCATTTGCAAATAGCAGAGATGACATCCTGAGGCCACCAAACCAGACTCACTCAGACCAACTCAAACCGGCTGCATCGAGAAATTCTGTCCATGAAAGTTATGAACAGAATCGTCAGACCTGGCGGGGTTCAACTCACATCATGAAGGAGTCGGCTTACTGCTTTACTATCAAGGCAGATCTCATCCACCCTGGAGCTCTGCTGCTGAGGAACTTTTCAACTACTTCGGAAACTTCAGCCATGGTTATGGACAGACCAACCCTGAAGTTCCCTGACTCAGCTTCTTCCATGGAAGATGTGCCAGTGGAATTGAGAAGGTCCAAAAAGTTTTCCATCCAAGGGGCAGTTGTGGCTGAGTGGTTAGAGCAGTTGCCCTCCAATGGAAGAGTTGGAAGTTCGATTCCACCAGCAGGCACATGCTGAAAAGAGCAAGACACTTAACCCATTGGTGTATGAATGTGATCTAAAGCACTGACTAGTATTTTTACCTATCTAATAGAGTGCTGTAAGAATGGGTAAATGGGGGCACAGATTGTATTGTAAAGTGCTTTCCATATCTTGATAAGACAGAAAGGCGTACAAGTACAGTCCATTTACCGTTTGCCTCCCGACAACATCATTGGTTGAGGTTAGCAGCACCCCATCTTCAATGAACACAGTGTTACTAAAGCACCACTTTCCCCTCCTCAGACGTCTGATGGTTTGCCAGAGTCTCCTCTGAGCTGATTGAGAGTCTCTTTCCAAAGCCTCACTGAACTCCTCCCACATCCAAGCTTTTGCCTCAGCAACAACCAAGGCTGTGGACCACTTGGCTCTCTGGTACTCCTCGACTTCCTCCGGAGTCCAACCAGCCAACAAGGTCCAACAGGACTCCTTATTCAGCTTGACATCCTCCCTAACCCAGGGTGTCCACCATCGAGTTTCAGAATGGCCACTGAGAAAAGCACCGACAACTTTGTGACCACAGCTCAAGGCAGCCACATCAACAACTGAGGCGAAGAACATGGTCGACTCAGACTCAATGTCTACTGCCTCAGCTGGGATGTGGTAAAACCTCTCCTGGAGATGTGAGTTGAAGATCTTTTTTAATGGGTTCTGCCAAGTGTTCCCAGCAAACCCTCACTACACATTTGGGTCTACTGGGTATGTCTGGCATCTTCCCCTGCCATCTGATCCAACTCACTACCAGGTGCAACTACAGTGTGCACTCTCAGGACATTATTACATGTAGTGTTCCCTCATTGAGGACTGAACTAGGCAAAAGGACCTTCTCCTACTCCGCTCCTGTTTCCTGAATATCTTGCAAAAAGATCTGAAGCTCTCGACCTTGACCTCTCTAAGTGGCTTCAAACATCTGCTAAGTTCCTGGCAAAAACCAATGCAGACATGTTCCTGTTTTTAGTTTTCTACACCGCCCTACTATCTAGCAGTTTTTTTTGTTACACTTTCTTTTAAATACTAGTTTATTTTCACTTGTTTTAAAAAAAAATCTCATTTTGTACACATCCTTTACGATTGTCTATTATTGTCTTTGTTGCCCACTGCTGTCATCACACTTTGTTAAAATCAGGTCTGTCTTGTAAATAAGTCCCCGATGCTCTGTGGGATTAACCTGTATAAATAAAGGTTGAATGAAAAAAGTGGTGATCAATTGACAGCTCAGCTCCTCTATTAACCCAAGTGTCCAAAACAAATGGCCACAAATCAGATGACAAGACTACAAAGTCAATCATCAATCTATGACCTAAATGTAGGGTGTCCTGGTGTCAAGGGCACTTATGGACACCATTATGTTCGAACATGGTGTTTGTGATTGACAAACCATGACTAGCACAGAAGTCCAACAACAGAACACTGCTCAGCTTCAGATCAGAGTTCTGAACTCAGTTCCTCCCAAACATTCCCTTCCAGGTCAGACTGTCAATTCCCATGTGGGCATTGAAGTCCCCCAGCAGAATAGGAGAGTAGATCCACACCAACTTGGCACCTCACACAATGGGCAACTCCAGGATGGTCCAGCCTCTCTCAAGAACATTGATTCTGGAGCCTATGCTGTGTGTTGAGGCAAGCCTAACTATATCTAATTGGTACCTCTCAACCTCATATACAATCTCAGGCTCCTTCTCCTCCAGTGAGGTTATATTCCATGTCCCAAGAGCTTCCAAGAGTCAGAGCCTTGGTAAGCCATGGTCAGAGTGCCTAGGCCCCTGCCTTCGGCTACTGCCCATGGCATCACGCACCGGGCTCCTATGGCACCTCCTGCAGGTGGCGGACCCACAGAAAGGCAAACCCATATTGCTCATTCGGGCTGAGCCTGACCGGCCTCCATTGGTAGAGGCCTAGTCACAAGGAGTTCCACAACTAGCCACTCCCCCAGGCCTGGCTCCAGGGTAGGTCCCCGGTAATTCACATCCAGGCAAGGGAAATCAAGTTCCTTATTCTTCTTTGTCCATACAAGTGTTTTAAAAAAAGGAACGTCTAAAATTTTTGTTGGCCTAATCATGTAATACAAAACTTGGCTGGCCCCACTTAAATTACTTGTTACCACCAAATCAATAAATAATTCAGCTTTATTTCTCCCAACACAAGCTATATAAAATGTTATTTAAAAAAATGTAATCTATTAACCATTTGTTCATGCACTTTCAACACTGCATGATAAAATCTCAACTCTTCATTTCAGAGATATGCATCCAAATATTGTGCAAGGCAGTGAAACTGAATTCTTGTGCATCAACCTATATTTGCCCCTGAGCATTGAAAGTTTTTTCACTTGCCTGTCTGTCTGTTACATGTCTGGGTTACAGCCGTTATGGCACCTAATGTGAGAAAAATCTCTCGTGACAGTTAAAATTGGTTTCTGCAAGCACTGACTGGGAAACTGCCACGTAATAGCCAAACTTAGCTTTACCAACTAAAGTGTCAGCAGAAAGGATGGCACGGACAAAAATGAGGAGCATTTAGTCAGATCGAAAACATTGTGGACAAAAGTAGCCACATTCAACCATGTCTCTTACCACAGTGAGTACGTTATACCAGTGAAAGCAGACTTTCTCAAATGCAAACTGTTGATCTCATCATTGTGGATTCATGTACAACTTGCTCTTGAAGCACTTCTTCCTTCCTGCTTGTGTTTTTTGCTGTTGAGAACAAAAGTGTAAGACCACACGCTTTTTTTTCTTTTCTTTTTATTAATGACTGCTTTACACGTGAAAGTAAAAAAAATACAGTAATGTTCAAATAAATGATAGGACAAATATAAAAAAACAACACACTTATAGAACAATATTTACATCTTTATACAGTTTATACAGCGATACCAGGGGATCAGATATGCCTATGACTGTTGTTATTAATGGAAATAGTCTAAAGTCCAGAAACATTTGTGTTTGCAGAGTTGTACATGGTGGTGTAACAATTAATGACAAAATAAATGTAAAGCTTGACTTTCTAGGTCTCAACTGCAGTATTTATGGAAAATGAACACTTATATGGAAAGAGCGGGGGTTGTATCAGTATCTGACATGACAGAGGGACGTTTAGGAACTGAATGACCTTTACTGAACCCTCCTTTGCTCAGACCACCAGCACACATCTTAACCATCTTCATGAGGTCTTGTCTGAATCGAACTCCAATAAAAACATACAGGAACGGGTTAAGGCAGGCGTGCGTAAAGGCCAAGCTCTTTGCAACTTGTCCAGCTATGTCAAAACGAATTACAGTCTCGCAGTCAGTGATGGTGGTATGAGATGCCTGCGTGGCCTCCACGATCAGCAGGGCATTGTGGGGCAGTTGGGAGAGGACGAACACAAACACCACAACAAAGATGACCCTCAGGGCCTTGTGCTTTTCAAAGTTCTTGGCCTGCAGAAGAGTGCGGATAATGACTGAGTAACAGAAGAATATGATCAACAGAGGGAGGCAGAAGCCCATGGAAATCTGCAGGGACAGCACCATAATTTTTGTCTGATTGAACGTGTTGTCCCAATAGACCAATGTGCAGAAGAATTGTTGTGCATTTTCCTCCCCCTTGACCTGAGCAAAGATAAACTCTGGAAGGGCCAGTAAAGTGGAAACAGACCAGACACCAAAGCAGGTGAGCTTACTGTAGAACAGCGTTTTCTTCTTTAAGTTCTGAGCTTTTGTGACTTGCACAATAGCAATGTAGCGGTCCACGCTAATGCAGGTGAGAAGGAGCATGCTGCTGAAGAAGTTAATTTTGTAGACGGCAGATACAATTTTGCAAAGACTGAGCCCAAAGTCCCAGCCCTTGGTGGCATCTGCAGCCCAGAAGGGCAGCGTGCACAGGAAGAGGAGATCAGCCACAGCCAGGTTCAGCAGGTACACGTCGGTCATTGTTTTGAGGCGGTTGCGCACTGCGGTGTAAATCCAAACCACCAGCAGGTTACCCACAGAACCAAGCACGAAGATGATCCAGAAAAGAGGTTGTTCGTACTCGCCACGAAACTGCCGGACCCAGCTTTTGTCACACATGCCTGAGTCTTCAGTCGTATCATAATCTGAGTCGTTTGGGTCCTGCAATTAGAAAAGACCATTGGATAATTTAAAAAGTGTACAACTAGTATTTCCCCAAAACTTTTAATTTTATGTTGTTTATTGTCCTTTCTTTTCTCTTAAACCATCTCATCAACTGCATAGTTTTTCATAGTCTAACCCACTTCTGGTGGGAATGGAGTGAAATTACATCAAACGCTGTCTGTGACGTACAAGCTAACCAGAGTTTGCTGTCAGGTGCAGCTGTTGTGTCTGTGCAGAAGAAACCACACAACTGCAGTTTCCTGCTGCTATCCAAACCCAAGGAGGGGTGAACAATCCTGAGGGGCTCCAGAAAGGGGGTCTTTTGCACAACTCAGTACCCTAGCAGCACTATGTTTTAGATGTAGGGCAGAGATAAACAGCGGGGCTTGGGTTTTTGGAAACAGTGGAAAATGTGATGCTGATGCGCCTGTGACTTTGACTGTGGCATTTAAGTACCCCACAAATGTCTGCTGTAGAATGCATGCTTAAAAAAAACCCACATTAATTTCTGCACACATTTAAAATGAGTCCTAAGCTAAAAATACTTGTTTATATTTATACAATAAAACAAATTCACAAAAACATAGAAAAAGTTACTTTTTGCCTATATGTGAGCGTGATTGTCATAAATAATTTGTCCCTCTTTCATTCGCTGTTTCCTTGTATAAAAACAAAAAAGTTGTTTTTTCCCTTGTTATTATGTCATCATATATAAAAATTACTGTAATACTTACAGTTGTTGTGAAATAATCAAACATATAGGTAGTTGTCTCGTTCATTTTATCTATGAAAAAAACAGAGAATACCAAAATAAGACGACAAACATGAGGAAAATTAAACATTAGGCTTAGCAAGCGAATTTGGAAGAAATGCAAAATATCAGTTACCTGTTTCTGTGTAGGAAGAAGAGCACGAGGAACTTCACAGTGAGAGTATTACTTCTTTGTCTGAGTGGAACAGCTGTCAACTTTACTCATCTTCGCTGGCTTATATGGTTTCCCTTTAACCACGAACGATCACGTGCTAACTTCTATCACTTCGTCTTTGTCTCAGCTTGCAGTGAGCAGCAACACATGGCCACACTGGACATTGTTGAAGTTTTTTCTCGAGTTTTAAACGACAGCAAAGCGTGTCCCAACTGGACCTCTTTTATCATTTTGAAAACCCTCTGACAAGGCCTAAGTATTAGGTGACTTTCAGACGTCACCCAATGATTCATGGCCATGAGGCTGAAAGTAAAGCAGGTTTTATCAAGTCTTTGCTCAGACGTGGCACATTTTGTACACACAGGTGAGCAACTTAATACTGTACCACGGACAGACTTGTGAAACTGAAAACATGATTAAAGACTTAAAATAGAAGTGAAAGTAAGCCCATTTTGTTTCTCATTAAAGTCTAACGTTTAGGCAGTGTGAGACAGCACTTCAGACTGAAACTAAGCATTTAAGCGGGATACATTTTTTCACAATATGGTTTTGTCGTTTTGGAACAAACATTTGAGACACTTTGCTTAAACATCCCATTAACTTTAAACAAAATGTTACATTTTTCTTTTTAAGATGAAAAGATAACAACAAAAAATTGCTTGCTGATTTGTATAAAAGACTGTTAATCTAAAATTAACCTTGTGATGAAAAGGGAGAATTGTGGCCATTTAGGTCAAACCTTGTAAAAAGAAAAAGTCAAGATCTGTTAGAGCTCAAAGTATGTGCTGTGAATGACTCTCAGCTACTACCGCATGATAATTTAACTAAATATTTGTAAAACTGACTAAATTAGTCAGTTTTGTGCTTGCTTATATTGATAAGACCCATCTTGAATTGGATCAATGAGTAGATGCAGCCAGTGAGTACTTTCTGAGAGTAGTCAAATCGGTCGAGCAGGTCATGAGATATTTTACTAACAGACAAACAGGGTTGATATCAACAGTTCATGCCAAGGTATATATGTTGTGAACCAGTCTCAGCTGCTAATCCACCAAATTTTTGTTTCATAGCTGTAAATTTGACTGAATTGCAATTATTTTGTGTTGTCCAGGATTAGGCGGCTGTGGTGGCCATCTTGAAGTGGATTGACTCCAAAACTTTATCACTTTAAGATGAACATCTAATGATTACTCCCTGAAAGTTTCATTCAAGGTACTGTATTGGTTCATAATGTATTTTGCTGACAGGCAGATTTTATTCAAATGTTAATGACAAAACTTTAAAAACAGAGCTCGCATGTTTAATTAACATTTGGAGTATAAACTGGGGCTCAGTCTCAGCTACTACCAAGATTTTACTAAGAATTCTCTAAGATTTTGGTGTGGTAGTAGCTAACAGTCATCCTCAACACAAGATACAACATCTTGGTTTATATTTTTTGGGGTGCAAGGTGATGAGTGACATTTATTTCTTCAAGAAACGCAACTTTAATGTATCCATAGTTTTAACTTTAATGTTAAGTGCAGCAATTTTCCCACTAATAATACTAACTAATTTCTTGCTATATTAAAAATAGTTTGCACGTTAAATACTGTAGTTTGCATGCCTAACTTTGATCTGTTTAGAGCAATTCTTGAATCGGTACGTAAATAAAAAATGATTATTTGTGCAAAGCAAAAAGTAATTGAATAAATCATCAACCTGTTTTATTCTACAGTTTACAAAGAGAGTGTGCCACTCTCAGCATTTATGGCAAGTCCTTGGTCAATGGTTTTGCACGGGATTGGTGGGGGGATCCATCCATCATCCATCCATCCATCTATTATCTTTTACCTGCTTCTTCCTTTTCAGGTCGCAGGAGTCACTGGTGCCCATATCCAGCAGTCACTGTACGAGGGGCAGGGGACACCCTGCACAGATTTCCAGTCCATCACAGGGACACATAGAGACAAACAAACATTCACTCTCTCACTCACACCTAGTGACAATTTGGAGTTACCACTCAGCCTAACATGATCACTAGAACTCCAATGAGTTCAAGACCGAGACTGAGGGATTTTGTTAAAATCTTGTGGAACTCATGGGAAGAAAATTATAAAGAATATTTCCTCCAAAACTAGTTTTTAAGGTTAAAAACTAGTTAAATTTCACCTGTTGTTTTTGTGAGTCTGGCTGATTTATCACAGCCAAATATAACAGACTGACATTTTTCTGTCTCAGGAGGAAAAAACATCAAATCATGTGGCAGACCCTGTGAGTAAAGGGAAGTGGATTGTTACTTGGTAATATCAAAAATAAAGGGAAACAATTACCAGAAATTCATCTTTTGGCTGACGTTAACAAAATTAAAATAAGACAATAAAAGAAAGTCCCGGTTTTACTGTCAGTGTGATGAAAAACACCCTGATCATCAATAAATCATTACAGTTTATAGATATGTTACATGAAGACATGTTTTAAACTGGGTTTTTTTGTGCTTTGAAGAACAAACATGTTTCTGATTGGACTCATGTTGAGGACCTCTGAAAGGTTGAGTGGGTTTGTATTCTCACAATTTCACTTCCTAACCTCATAACTTTTTCAGCCCTATAGCGTGTCACGAGCACTCTACAAAAGGATGAGTGTGTGAGACATTGCCTCTTCAGATTTTTACCAATTTCTGGTAGCGTTTCTTGGTTTTCATCACAGCGAGGTACAGGGAAATGGCCATGTCATGATCATATCGGTGTTTACCTTCTGGGAAAAGACGTGAACACCGACAAGTTTCACTCACGGCTATCTGTCTACCAACTGCCAAAGTTTAGCATTATATGAGTGCATGTGGTAATAATTACATACACACTAAAACAACAGAATAACATGACTGAAAATCATGACTATCATTTTGTTTTCATGTTTGAGTGCATAAACAATTACTGCAGCAGATGTTTGCAGCAAACTGTAATTATTACAACTAAAACAAACCACCAATCCTCAAACGCCAGTTCGGTCTGCCTCCTGAGTCACCTGCAGAGAGTAGTGTGTTGATGTATGGCAGGGACCAAGGTCCAAATCCAGACCCATATTGTCTTTTCTGAACCCAGATCTGTTCATGAACTTGTAGATGAACATATGCTGTGATATATTCATAAATTAAACGGATTCTTTCATTTTTCTGGACTGAATAATGTCGTGTGTTGAATTATTAAATGTGGACGGAAACGTGTTTATCTTTGACCCATCAAAATGAATGCGGTCATTTATTTACAGAATCAAAGTTTAACACATCACACATTTACATTAATTTGGCAAAATGAAAATAACAACATGGCATAGTTAGCAAGCTGTACAATTTGATTAACCATACGGCGATGGTTTCCTCACTTCACAACAGACATTTCTGAAAATATCTGGAATGATTTCTAGCAGATTGAAGGGTTTTAAAGATGGAAATGAAGTTTAAGTTGAGAGAAAGGATGGATGAGGGAAATGTGTGTGTCGGCATCAGAACGGCACTCTCCGGTGAGTTCCCAGCTTCTTCCCCGGTACACTTAGGTGGTATAAATCAACTCTTTACCTGGAGATGTCTCCACTGGTACAAAGTTCCATTTAACGCACCCTTTCAGCGTCTCCGTAGGAACAGCTGTGAATCGTCCGAAGTAGTGACGGTACTTGTTCGACACAAGTTCACCTCTTGGTGGACTCACATGAGTGGAGTCCGTCAGAAGTTCCACTCAGAGGTGGAAGATGTCATAATCCCCACAAGACTCGGAAGAGCTCTGGATCATGCCTGGACTTCTGTTCTCCCCAGCACTGGAGCTGCAAACGACTGAAGCCCCAAGCGACTCGTTTGAACTAGGAAGTACCGACATTTAAAGAGTTCTATTTCCGGTTCACTTGGGACCTTTCTGATTGGTCGGTGGACCAACAGAGGTGTGTTTTTGTGATGTAAGAGGTTATTAAAAGTCAAGGAAAAAGATTAAATTTGTTTAAGAACAGACAGAAGATTGCTATGAGATTCCAGACTTCGTGTCACGATTCACGCCTGTCTGAGTTTATATTTTTGTCACTTTGTTCACTGCTTGGTGTCTGTGGATTTTCTCCTCTGCTATTCTTCTTATTTATATGTGTTTCTCTTTGGTTTTGAGACTTTTATTTCTGCAGCACTCTGTCTGTTTCTCTCTGCTGGCTGCATGATAGTTTAAATTTGTCTTTCCTTCACTTCACTCTGCACTGATTAGTTTTCATTAGCTGCACCTGTCGCTGCACCCTTTATAAACCTGGTCTGTCCACAGGGTGAGCGCCAGATAGTCGAAAACAGCTTGCCTGCCAATAGATATCCCGCGCTACTTTCCTTTATAGTCTCCTGTCCTTTCATAGTTTCCCTCCTTCCTTGTTTTGCCTGCCCTGCTCCTGTCCCTCCTCCCGGTCCTCGTATCCTCGCCTCTGTTCGCTGACTTCCTGGTTTTCGACTCCGGATCGTCTGACTTCGCCTCTCGCCTGCTCCTTTGGATATATTCTTCACCTGCTGGTTCTTGACCCACGCCTGCTCCTGACCTGCCTATCGCCCGCTCCTGCATGGTACTGTCGCTTCTCAGCTCTCTGGTTTTGACCCTCGCCTGCACGACTACGCCTCCCGCCTCACGGATCGGGTACTGGTTCGGCGCCGCTGCGGATCAGCGCTTTTCATCCATCCATCCATCCATCCTTGGGTTCAACGCTGCAGCCGGCTGACTCCCTTCACCGGGATCATTCCTCCTGCAGTGGGCACACCAGCTTGAAGCGACTCATTACTCCCACGCCCCCTTCAACCAGAGTAACGGTTAGTGGTCTCACCTTTTTGACATTTGCACCTGCTTCTGTCTCCCGCCTGG